ACTCATCTTTGGAAAACTCTTCCTTCATGGCGAAAACCTGGAAATGAGGCAAAAAGATGGTATTTCTGATTTTTCACCATGAAGCAAGAGTTTCCAAAGGTGATTTTAGAGACAAAAATATGGCAAACTATTCGAATTTTGAATGTTGAAGCAAAATGTTTGAAGAACTTGGTTTTCGCTGGATCTTAAAATCCTTTTTTTAGAAACAAGTATTGTAACGAGATTCAGCTTACTGGAAACTTATGTTTCCATGCATTGCTGAGATTCATTGAATGAGGCGAAGAACAGTCCTAGGGCTTCCAGGGAACTCGTCCCCTGCGAATCTTGAGTATAGCGTGTATTACTAGCAGAGCCAATCATAAATAGAGAAGCAGCAATAATGACGTCTCATTGCCGAGATAATAAAATTATTTGAGAAGAAGATTTTGTTATAAATATTTGATTTCGTTTACGCAGATGATATTGAAGGTGATTGTGACTATCTGTTAATAAAAAGTAAAAGATCACAATTACATACACAATTTTCAAATACACAAATTTTGAAACTATTTTACGTTTCCACTGTTTAACGTATTCCAGCGTTTAAGTCAAGGGGGAAAAAGCGGACTACTGGACTNATGAAAAGACAATTACTTGATTAAAAACTTCATAATAATACAATAAAATACAAAAAAATAGAAACGATAAAACTAATGGTAAACAAATGATAAAATAAATAATAATTATAGTTTTCTTCGCTTTGATGATCGCGCTAGTATACTTGATGCTGGTGCAGAGCATTTAGAATTGTTTTTCGTTGGTGCTATTGTTGATGTACTACTTGTGGATGGAGATGGTGCAGCTAAAAAGTAAAAGATCACAATTACATACACAATTTTCAAATACACAAATTTTGAAACTATTTTACGTTTCCACTGTTTAACGTATTCCAGCGTTTAAGTCAAGGGGGAAAAAGCGGACTACTGGACTCCTATGGACTTCTATGGACTCCTGAAGTCCAGGAGTCCAAGAGCTCTGTAAAGCTCAACATCAACCAATTTCCATATACAACATCTCAATGAGCATCTAATTCGTATATAAAGAGCCGATCAACGACACCTCTCATATTTCTCAGGTCGGCGTGAATGCACGCTTTGTTAAACATGCATTACTTGTGATCTTGAATAATAAATAGATATATATAAAAGATCTCGAGTATAAAAGGAACAATAAAAAAAAGATAGAAATATCACAGTTAAATTACAATAGTCGACTAGGAGTAAATAAATCTTAAATATAAATAATGAAAAGACAATTACTTGATTAAAAACTTCATAATAATACAATAAAATACAAAAAAATAGAAACGATAAAACTAATGGTAAACAAATGATAAAATAAATAATAATTATAGTTTTCTTCGCTTTGATGATCGCGCTAGTATACTTGATGCTGGTGCAGAGCATTTAGAATTGTTTTTCGTTGGTGCTATTGTTGATGTACTACTTGTGGATGGAGATGGTGCAGCTATAGGATTCGTTATTATTTGAACTAATGGTTGTGATTGTACTGGTGATATCGATGATGATGATATTTGAACATTAGTTCTTTTTTGTTTGTTATTTTTCTTTACAAATTCTTTCATTAATGAACAATTCAATTTTTTTATATGTTCGTAAAAATTTGACAATTGAAATTTATTATCCTTTTTCGTTAATGAGAAATTTGAGCCACATTTACATGTAATTGCTGCTTCTAAAATATTATGGTTATCATGTAATTTTAATGTAAAATCTTCTCCACCTCTTAATTGAAAATCATCTAAACCAGCGTTTTCTTTATTATCTAAACACCACTGTTTAATTAATTTTAATTTAAAATCTTTATGTTCATGTATTGTCATTGTTGGTGGTGGTAATGGAGGAACTGAATTAGTTGAAACTGGTGCTATGGTTATAATCGATGATGATGGTGGTGGAGTGGAATTACTACTAGCAGCTGTTGTTATGGTTGTTTGTTTTTTTGATTTTAATTTTGTCTCTTTCATTATTTCTTCATTTTTTTCAAAAATAGTTCTTTTAAATATTTAATATTTCTAATACCAGCTTTTAAAAGAAATGAACCATCAGCTAATGTAAATGATATTTTCTTTTTTAAATCAGTTAAATCGGGACAATCGACATCCATAATACCAAATACATCATCAGTCAATAATACGAATGTCGACTTAATATCTTACAAAGAAATGCGGCATGACTTATCAAACCGACCGTTCAGCATTTGTGTTAGCTATGACTGTTTGAAGCAAGCACTGCATTGTAAGTTGAGCATGTTTTCTTCCCCCGCTGCATTATAACTCATGCAAACTTAAAAGATTTCTCAGCAGATAATTGCAATATGCCGAGAACAGTAGAGAGAACGCGATAGCATCTATGGTCATGAGCATAGTAAAATGTCGATACCTGACTATTCATGCTCATTACGTTGAGAGTATAGAATAGTGCCTAATACTCTTAACAGTCATATCTGAAAAAGAGGATGTCCTTAGCAAGAGCACTGATTCACTTTCCTTATGCTTCACAGCATCTCTCCGTAGCGAGGAAGGACAATAAAGCTTTATTTAGACGTGACACAGTTCCGGTCGCTTCCAAACGAATTGATTCTTGAAATCTTCAAATATCTTGACGATTCTGCTATTCTACAAGCATTCCTTGGGCTAAACGATCGGTTCGATCGACTAGTAGTCGAAGCACTGGCTGAAGCGCCGAGCATTAACAAAACTCTTACTCAGCTTGATCTTTCGTGGAACCATGTGTCTGATGGAGGGGTTGAAGCACTGGCCGCAGCACTAAAAATGAATAAAACCCTCACTCGAATATTGCGGTTGTAAACGAGCCCAAATAAACAGCACAAACATGATCTGCATGAAAGTCTGAATAGAAAAACTGGTTTTTCTAACACTTTTCTTGTACCCGGCGATCACCAGCCACAGTTAAATGACTCCTGTTCGAAGCGTCATCGGTTATCTTTGTTATAATTGAATTGCTTTATGCAGGGAGCTAAAAGAATGTAAAAGCTCCTCTTGTTGTCTTATCTTCAGCCTTGCCGGCAATACAAGATGCTCGATCAAGCTCATATAATGCATTATGTCTTAAATGCTTCGACTCATGCTGAATGTTAACTAATAACAAGAGAAAAAATGCAGGCTACAATCACACACTAAAAACAAACAAAGACGGGTTAAACATCAAACAGTAAAATCAAATCATTCTATTTCCAAATCACTTTACATAATGACTCGTCCATCTCCTTTTAAGGCCACTATCAGTGCTTCCCCTCCTTGAGCATTTATTCGATTCCAAGAAAGATCAAGGTGGTGAGAATATTGTTGAATGCCAACGCTTCAGTTAGTGCTTCACTTCCTCTATTAGATATGTGGTTCCAAGACAGGTCAAGTTGAGTGAGAATGTTGTTGGGCGCCAACGCTTCTGCTAGAGCTTCACCGCCTCTGTCGGATATTTTGTTCCGTCGCAGATTGAGTTGAGTAAGAGTGTTATTTTTTCATCTTCAACGCTTCAGCATATGTGCTGAAGGAGGTGAATAAGAAAAAAAGAATATGTGCCTAACGAGAATCGAACTCGCTGACTAGCGCACTCGGAATTGAGATTAGAAGTACACGCGACGTTTTAACCAACTAAGCTACCAGGCACACATGTAGTAGTTGATGA